TGACTGTTGGGAGAGAAAAGTGGGGGGGAGGGGCGGGGGGGGGGGGAACTGTCTCCATGGCAACATTCCTACAGTGCCAAAAAAAAATCATTTAGTCGGAAAGGCATTTCACTCAGCTCAGTGAGCTGAAAGAGGCAAAGAGGGAAGGAGGAGGCACAAGTTTGAGAATGAGGGAGGTGTGCACATTATAGAGCTGTTTGTATCACACCACAGAGATTTATCTAAAATAAACTGACAGAACAGCATTATTATACGTTTTTTTAACAGAATCATTTGCATCTACTGTACATATTTATGTACTAGGTCAAAATCCACTTTATGGCATGACATTACCTGTTCCACCTACACACCAAAAACCTTTTGTTACTGGGACTCCAAACTTTTGTTTTTTATTTGGAAAGAGACTGACCGTTTCACAAGACCATTTATTATTCCATGTATACAATCTATATAAATAATATCCCAAACCTTAAAAAAAAATTATGAATTCAATGAATGCATGCAAGAGGAAACCTACAGTTGGAGCTTGCTACTGCAGGGGAATAGTACAGTAACACAAAAGCTGAGCTTCAGGATTTGAGCTGTTACACCTCGGCTACAAGGTGTAATGTATGCTTCTTTACAAAATGACAAAACAAAATCTTGCCTTGAATGGAAGTAAAAACCCCTACTATAAGCTTCCTTTCTTTAACCACTACTTCTACTGCACAGCGATTGTGCCAGACTTGATAGAAAAAGCTTCAGAGACCGGCAGTGAAAGGTAGGCTGCTATCACAGCATCCCAAAAGCTCTGAGTAGTTGTGGTAACCCATTTGTGTGGATGTCACTGTATCAGCACACTGGCTGTGATTACCTGTTGTGAGCAGACCATCTGGTCCTCAACATCCCAGCTGGGTACCACGGTCAGGATATGGATTGTCTTTACCACACTACCTGGACCTTGCAGTCATGGCGCACTGAGGCACCTAGCGTATTTCTCATTCATATTTTATTATGTCATTCTCTGACCAAACAACAAACAAAATGGAACAAAAAGACAGCATTGTCTGGGTTTCCAAAGGTACACCTGGAGAGCAGGATTTCTATAATTGCTTGGCAACTGCTGGCACTGTGTGTGGTGAAGTTCAAAGCAGCGAAATACACAGTAGCCTACATCCCTCTGAGTAGCAAAAAGCATCAGAAGTGCCTACGCAGGCAGATTCACAAACATAAACACACATAAACAGTCACAATCCATTCTGTCAGTTTAATTTAGCCTTGTTGCTCAGACAGAATAAAAAGCGCTGAGGGGGTTTAATGTTTGCATCCAGGGGGGTAGCCCTGGGCATAAGCCCTCCCTCAGATGAACTTTTCTTAGGAAGCAACCCTGCTCACTGACACCCAAGCTGCTTGAGCCCACAGCTTGTCACCCTTCTTAAAATTTGGGTTAAATTTATACGGAGCTTTGGATCTGTGGGAGGTTTTGAGTTTGATGAGCTCTGCAGCCCTTTGCTGAGACCTGAGCAGAGCTGACTGGCTAGCAGTAGCACGGGGGAGCTGATGCTATTGTTGACCCACAAAAACAGTGTGCGGATGTATTGAGACTCTAGGTTAGACACTGGTGAACTGCACTGACCTGACATCAGATTAGCATGCTGGCAGCTGCTGCAGTTACATGTGTGTGATCTTGTGCTCAGCACTGAGGTTTTGGGCAAATGTTGTATAGAAATTGGTTATAACTTATATGGGAAACTTGCAAACCAGGTAAGCCTGAATCACTTCATGTTCTTCTAAATACAATAAAATAAGAGTCAAATTTAAACAGTAACAGAATTTTGTCCCTGGAGCTTTTTCCTTATCTAACTTTACTACATCTAATATATAGGCTATGTGCTAAAGGTTGTCTGGCTCTCAAGCAAGACCCTTTGAGTCGCAATCTGTAACCATGTCTGTGACAAAGAGGTAGTTGTTGTATTTACTGTAGATATTTGCTGACATCTCCTGGAGATGTGACTAAACAGCGCACAGAAATGTCTACTGTTCTTGCTCTGAGCTCCAGTTCAATCATATACAGTAATAAGAATAGACAGTAGTCCTTTTGTCATGGGAAGGTTTAGTCATGCAAGATCTGGGGCTGATCTGTCATCCATACAATAAAGGATTGAATTTTTCTGTCTCTTGTGAATCTTAATTGTGATCCCTCAGCCTCCAAGGGATTTATCCTGAATACATTTATTCTGAGTGGACTGGTCCTTGAAGAGTGTATGTTTCAGACATCATCCCACTTTCAAAGTGTTCACTGTAAGAAATATGCTGAAGGTCAGCAAAGGCTGGGGTCTTGTTACAGCATCAGTTTTGTTGCTGATTAATCTGTATGATTAAAACCTCTCCCATTCAGAATGAGCATCAGACCAGTCTTAGTTTATTTCTTATAACTACAATGTTGACAAATCTGACCACAATCTTGATTTTGAGCTGGTCAGTAAAGTAAAACTAAACATTCTGTCATTGCAATTTGTAAAAGTCAGTGGTCAGTTGTGTGATGCAGTCTTTTCACATTCAGATAGGATCCTAAAAGTGTTACCCTTGAAGAAAGCCCTTCCTTGGCCTTCTGCTCCGCCTGCGTCAGGATGGCTATTAGAAAGATTTTAGACAGATATGATAAAAGACGACCTTTCTCATGACTAATGCTATTGGCAGAGCACTTGCAAAGAGTGAGGCTTACAGATTTGAGCCAAGATATATTCAGTGATGACCATGTGCCCTCAAGCTTTATTTAGAATCAGTGTGAGCATTAAGTGCACTTCTTTTACAGGAAGCAGTTAACTCGATAAAAAAAATGCAACCACAAAGTATACTGGATGCACAATGAACGAGCAGCCATTTAAATTAGGTACAGACTTTATAATTCAGTTAAATTAAATTGTTGACAGAAATGTGCAGAGATACTGTGCTGTAAAACTATCTTCCCTTTTAAAACCCAGTAATCTTGGGTATTTGACAACTATTGGTGCAGGTCCCTCTAAAGAGCTAACCAGACAACAAGCCTACCAGTTGTCAGATCTCAGCATTGGTTTCTTGTGTTTTTAAAATCATAGGATTGGGTTTAACATGAAAAAAAAACAAAACTGAATGCACCACTATACACTTCTAATTGGCTGTGCCGTTATTAACAGTCCAGGCATTAGCAGTGCAGGTGTGCTTAGTCTCCAGAGATGAAGCCTAACATGGAAACGCGCCATTTAGTTTTTATGGACCACATATCTGGAACAGCCAGATGACTTGAAGTCTGCTCCAACTGTCAGTTCTTTGGCTATTGTTGAATTGTTCTACACTGAGCTGCACTGAAAGCACATGGCACTAGAATAAAGCCAGCCAGACTAATATAGGTACATATAATCCACTTAATTTAAATAAAAGAAAATTCAATAGCTTTAACCTATTTAACTTTATCAGATTTGCGTAACAACAGTATTTTTATTCAACCATAAATAAAGCCAGCTCTGTCTATTGTGTATAGATACCAGGTTATTAGCCTACATCTCTTTTCTCAAAGAACAGCATGGAACCTAAATTTGCATAGTCATGCTCTGAGTTTTAACATTTGTTGCTTAGTTGTCATATACCAAAAGATGTACAATTTAGCAGTGTACCAGCTTACTTCTAAAAATGTTCTAAAAATCTGTTTTATTATTACATGAAGTGAATTAAAAATACAAGTAAATCATGCTGAAAGACACTGGCCCATGCCAGCCTCATTCCTGACCCAATGATATATGTGAAAATCTATCTGAATAAAGGTTTTGGTCTGTGGTAGGCACTTTTCAGCCTCAGAGCATCTTGTCTGCACAAGAAAAAATAAAAAAAAACAATGAGTATGGCCATTAATTATATCACATTTTGTGAATGGATCGATTGAGAGTAGAATAAGGAGCAGAGGGGTCAACACTATTTTTTTTTAATTCAAACATCTATTAAACAGAAACTATTACATATGAGCTCTGACAAAACTAACCAACTAAATAAATAAATAAATAAATGCTTATAACCAAACTAAGACTTGAACACTGTGTTTGGGCCAGCTGTTTGAGAATTTTGGGTAAACATTCAGATGTGTTGTAATATAAACATTTTGTGGGGGGTTTTGTAATATTTATAGAATATTAAGACAGCAGTCTAGAGATTTATGTCCCACTGGCCTGTATGAAAGAATTTAGATAAACAAGCTATTTTATTCCTGACAGAGAAGCTTTTCTTTACCTCTAGAGGGCAGCATTACGCCTCATGGTGTACAGCCTGCCGGAAATCCATTCGACGAGGAAGAAGAATAACAGGTCGATTGGTCACTTCCGTCAAACATACAACAAATGGTTAGGCTAGCATGTTAGTAGTGAGCCTTAATATAAGTTGATTTTACGTTATACGTTATTTGGGTTTAAGTGATACTACGATTGAAACGCTGGCTGTACATCACCAGGTCAGTCCACATCACTTTTTGGCTCGCTTGTAAAGGCTATTTTACCGGCGTTAGCCTGAATCGTTATTGATGTCTAGTTTCGTTATTATACATGTTGACGAGGCATCACAATTGGCTAATTGTATAACAGGCCAGGTTTAAATGGTGTAACGTTAAGGTTATTTCCGATGTCAATTTTTGATGTTATAACGTTAATGTTAGCGCACATCACACAGAAACTTCCATATTTCTTACGCTTTCGTTTTTGCTTTCTCACTTGATATCATCACAAAGACGCATACTTTATCCACAAACAGAATGAAACTGAATAATATTTGAGATTTTACCAGTATTTCACACTCGCTGATGCCAACCAGTCTATTGAGTCTAATGAAGATTGCAGGAGCTATAGAAGTTGAACTTTATTTACATGTGTGCATGTATAATGAATAACATTAGAGGAATGTAGTTGATGCTGTAAAAACCAAGGTGGTCTCACAGAAGTAATATCACACCACACTTTACTTTTCTGCGTCCCGGAGAATGGCAGCTGCCAAGTTTAGATGTTTATGTTGTCCATGCAGTTAGCATTAATAAGCACTGAGAAACTTTGATGCTTCTGCTTGTCTCTCCCAGTTATTGAATTTATTTGATAACTTTAAAACGTGTTTAATGTCAAGGAGGCATCTCCTTAAATGTAAAATCTGCCCCTTCCTAATGTCCAGGTCCATGGTGGCAGGTTTGACACTCATGGAGACATCTACTAAGCCTGGGACCAACCAGGTGGCTGATGTGGTGTTTGTCATTGAAGGGACAGCAAACCTTGGACCTTACTTTGAATCTCTAAGGAAACATTACATACTTCCAGCTATTGAGTAAGGACGTGCACACACTCTTCTTGTTCATTTTATTATCTATGTAGTCATGTCTAAATGCCTTTGTATTACTGTTTTAGATATTTCAATGGAGGGCCCCCAGCAGAAACAGATTTTGGTGGAGATGTGAGTGGTTTTCCTTTATTTCATTTGCATTTGCAGAACATAATTTCAAGGAAAGGCTTTGATTAATATTGCTAATAATTATTTCTGCACTTTTTTTTCTAGTATGGAGGCACACAGTATGGCCTTGTTGTGTTCAACACGGTGGACTGTGCCCCTGAGTCATATGTGCAGTGCCATGCACCAACCAGTTCTGCCTTTGAGTTTGTCTCGTGGATCGACAGCATCCAGTAATTTGTTAAACAAATTCTCTAGTTGTTTATTATTACAAAATCTGTGTTCTTGTTATTTTAATACATCTCTGTGTTTTATCACAATTAATCTAAACTAGACAGTATGAATTTTAAATATTAAACAGTCCTCTTCATTTTCCCACACAGGTTCATGGGTGGTGGAGCAGAAAGTTGTAGTCTGATCGCAGAGGGCCTATCTGTGGCCTTGCAGCTCTTTGATGACTTTAAGAAGATGCGGGAGCAAATGTAAGACAGTCTTTTTGTTAGTTTCTTGGAACAGTCTACACATTTTTAAAGTACTGTCACAACCCATCAATGGAGAGATCATTGCTAAGTTATTTATTACTCCTTTAAAAGTGCTTGCCACCTTGGAAGTGTAACCTCTTTGGTGATAGTAAAGTAATTAAATTTATGTGAACAGTCATGGCGAGCCGGTGTGGAAGTGTGTTGTATGTAATTGCTCCATAAACTCACTCCAATAAGTTGTCTAGAGAGTAGGATAAAGAGTAGATCATTATATCTGAGAGGGTCTCACTCTCACCCTTCATGCCACTGCCAGAGGTCCAACCCACAAGGTGTGTGTGCTTCTGTGTAACTCTCCGCCATACCTGCTTCCCGCTGTGGAGAGTATCAGCTACACTGGCTGCACGTCAGACAACCTGGTCAAAATCATCAGAGATGTGAGTTGTCACCGATATATTTGGTTGTGTTGTTATTTTTGTTCTAAGTATTCTGCGGATGGGGTAGTGCTATTTTTGGCCATGTTAGATTTTCATGTATTTTATTTTCATATTTCTCAGAAAGGAATTCATTTCTCGGTCGTGGCTCCTCGGAAACTGCCTGCTTTAAGGGCTTTGTTTGAGCGGGCATCTCCAGTGGGAGGGGTGGTTGAACCCCATCCAGACTACAGTCAGGACCCCTTCCACATGGTCCTAGTCAGAGGCATTTCACTTCCCGGTGAGAGACGTTATTTAACACCTAGTTTGTGTGGGCCGGGGCACATGTTCTCAGACTAGTCTTTCCAATTCATCTTCTGAAGGACTTGAGATTGTATTATACTGTATATTGTGAACAGTATTCATTGTTTAAGTGTTAGAATGTTTTGCCCACGCTGGTAAACTTTTTTTTTTTCCCAGGAAATGTGTCAAAACTGTGTGTCTGTCAGCTGGTGTAGGGTTCATCTCAGTCAATCAGTGCAGCTTTAAAAAGAGAACATTTCTCTTGGCTGAATTAAGTTTCACTTTCAGAGAGCTGTGGAGCTCTGAAATTTGTTAAGAGAAGCTGGCTAGGGTCCTAGACGGCTGCAGTAACTGCAAATGCTAAACTTTATTGTGAAGAACATTTTCAGTTTTATTTTGAAAAGCGCTATACAAAATGAATCTTTCCTTACTAATCTGTATCAACATGCAAAACAGGGTAGTTTAGTTTCCCATTTGTAGTAGGTACATTCTTTAAGCTTATCTCGAGATACACTTTTGGTAGGATGTTACCCTATTTTAACACATTCCTCACCATTGTGAATGAGAAGAGTAAAGCTGGCATTAATGTTTATCTTTTTTTCATGCATCTTTTCTGTCTGCGCTTTCAGCGAGGTACTAAATTGCCCATCTATTGTTCATTTTCTGTGAGATACATCCTTCAACACTATCAGACTCTCCACCAAGCCCCACTCTGATTTTGGTTTGATTAATTTTGGCAAATTTCCTGTAATTACATCTGTACTAATATCTTAATTTCTAACGGAGATATTAAAAATGTAACACAATCCACTTTAAGATGATGAAATTGATCATGTGACGTCAGTCTTTAGTTTGCTGCGACTTTAGCAGTAGTAAATAAAGATTTTTTTTTTTTTTTGAGCTATCCTTAATGGTTACTTTATTTAAATTCTTTGATAAATATGTTAGATTCTCATTTTAAGCCAGCCACGGTTTTGCTCCTACACTGAGACTTCAAGCGTTCTTAAGTTTATCTGTCAAGGGTGTAAAAACTCTGATCTCCACACATTGTCTTCAGTTTCATCGGGTGGAGGACCTGGGCCGCTCAAGCCTGTCCTGCCTCCTCAGCCACTGCCGGTCAGTCAGCCTCTTGGTGGAGCTCCACAGCCCCCTCCACCCATTAACACAACCCACCCTTATCAGGCAATGGGCAAGCCGCCACACAGCGTAAGTTTTTTTTTTCCTGCTGCGTAATTTTGGCTCAGTTTCAGCCAGTGGTATTCATGTTCCTTCCCTAAAATGTACCCAGCATTGTCTTCCTTTAATCTACTTGCTAACAGAATCAGGCCTCCATGACTGCTGCTCAGGTGGCTGCGCAGATGGCCGTGGAGGCAGCCAACAACCAGAAGAGTCGCTGTGAGTTATCACTGGACTCTGTAGGCCTGTGTCAACAGTTTATGTTAGCCAAGCTTTTATTTGCAATGTCTCCGTGTTTATATGTTGTAGGTGTTTAGGTCTGTGCTTTTTACTGTAAAGCTTATTCTCCCTTTTTCTGGCTCTCACCTAAAAGGTGACCTACAATAGCAGGGTCTTTTTAATTAGTTAGAAATGAAAGTAACCAAAAATACAGTAATTGTAAAAGTCAGAGTGGATTTTTTTTGCATAACGGCTCATAGTGTATGTAAATATTAGTATTTTTTACAGTATGGTACCTCTTCTAGATGTGTCATATTCCTCTTCTTTGTTATGTTCCCTCTGCCTCCACCAGTTCCAGGAATGGTCACTCAGGGTCCTCCATTCACCAGTCAGCCAACCCTCCCATCAGTCCCTGGGGTGAAGCACAGTCAGCCCAGCATTTCAACAGTCACCACAGGAACACAGCCAATGATACCACAGCAACAAGTTGCTCCAAATCAGCAGCAGTCAGTCCCACCCCCAGGACAACCTGCACCCAGTCAGCAGCCACAGCAGCCACCTCAGCAGCAGCCCACAGCAAATCAGCCCACGGCACCTTCCACACAGACCAACATGGTAAATTATGATAAAAACTGTATTATCAATAATACTATATTTTTTGTGTATTTGGTGACTTTGAAACAAAACTTGTAAGCATTTTTCCAGTACAGAAATGTAACTACCCCTAAACTAACGTATAGCAGATTTAGCTTTTGTGTCCTCTGCATTCCCACTGCTATTGGGGCACAGAGTCCCAAACCTGCATTTTCGTGCTGCTCTGCAGGTGATACTGAACTTCCAGATACTTTTTTTTTTAAGGAATAGTCTGACATTTTGGGAGGTACAATTATTTGCTTTACTGCTGAGAGTTAGATGAGAATGAAAACCTTGGTTCATCTCAGTCACTCAGCTTTAAAGCATGTATATCTTTTTTTTGTTAAAAACTGTGTTAACATTTTTTATAGTTTCTGTCAATACTGGTCTTGAACCAACTATTAGACAAATCAAATGGACATCTTTAAAAATAAAAGTTTTCATGAAGAATGTTGCTTTGCTGCACCATGGAGGCAGGTTAATACAAACAAAGATGGAATTTTCTACTAAAAAGGTAGTAATTTGGAAGATACCGACTTTATCCTGTCATTTTCATTGTAATTGTCCTAGAGAATAATATGTACATTATCAGAGTAGATACGAGGAACAGTTACCTTGACCAAAGGCTGTGGTATAGTTACAATTTACAGTCCCCAAACCGATAAAGGTTTTGTTGCATCACTTGCATTGGACCTTTGAGTTAATTTACATTTTCTGCCCACTGGTTATTAGGTAAAAACATAATAATAACTATCTGGCCAATCACAGTGAGAGTGATTAACACACCACCAATCCCCAGGACCACACAATTCTTTAATGTGAAATGTCTGCTGTTGACCTTTTGTTGAATTTCATTTCATTATGTTTGTTGTAATTTCATCATAGCCAACATTCTTTAGAGCTTAACTGTATCGTGGCATTCAGTGACTCAGGCTGGATGTGCTATTCCCCCCCCTTGTAAACACTATCAGTGTTTAAATTCTTTTGACATTTTCAAGTGTAAGCAGCCCCTGTTAAACTTAGGAACCAAAGAACCAAGGCTTGAATCTGTGTATGCTGTACTACCAGGAGCCTAGAGCCGAGTCTAATATCAAAAAGAATAGCAAATGTTAGTGTTGCTATGAGATCTGACCCAGATGATGATCACTTTTCTCTAGAAAATCATTCAGCCAGTATGTATGGAAGGATGGATGTATGGATGGATTCACTGATTCATTCATTCATTGGTTCTTACTAGTAGTGGAACATACCTGTGAATCATATTTTCATGTAGATTAAATGTTCTAAAATGAGGCAACTCTAATATTCAATGGTGTTCAGTTTAATAACCTTATAGAATTATGTTTTATATTGTTATAGGAACCATCTATTAGTCTGTATTTTTTCCTTTGAATTGTCAGGTGTACTTGGTAAAAGTTGTCTTTATTGCACTGTTTCCTTGACAGGCTGGTGTGTCTGGAGCTCCAGGCAATGCGAATCCAATGGGACAGCCACAAGTTTTGGCCAATAAGATAGTGGTATGGGCCGGTGTCCTGGAGTGGCAAGAGGTAATACTTGGTAACAAGTCTGATTTTTTTAAAATGTGTATTTGGAGAAAAAATGACTCCTAAGCTGAAAGTAAAGCTGTGTTAGAAACAGTTTGGTATTATTGCTTACAGTTTATTTGGAATCCCCAGTCACAGTACTGATGAATGAATTTCAAGTGGTCTTTTTCTCCAAAACAGATAAACTAGCATTTAGGACTAAAACACCGCACTCTGGCTGGGATGAAAGCCAGCCTTTCTCTGTGGTTCCCAGCTTCAGTCCTTCAGACTCAAAGGACCTAAGTCAGCTAATGGAATAGTTAGATATTTTGAGAAGTATTCTCATTTTCTTGCTGAGCATTAATTCAGAAGACTGATATCACTCTCATGTCTCTGTTAAATATGAATGTTTTGCCGCTTAGCTTAGCATCAACACTGGGAACATGGAGAAACTGCTAGATTTGCTCTGTCCAGATGTTTAAATAGAATGAATTTGCCTATGTGGTGGCCTATGTCTGAGGTGGCAGAAATTAAATCACAGACCAGTCACTACAATCCAAATGAACATTTATTTTTGCAAATGTTACAAATTTAGGCTGGATACAGAATCACCTTTCCCTGCAGGGAGAGGTTCGTGCATCAAGGCAGCCAGAAGTCAAGCCTCTGTTTGGTCTTCTGCTTGCTCCTAGCTTGTGATACCCCGGTACAACCCAACGCTAGCTTATATTAGTCTAAGTATCCATTATTTCATCCTTGTTGTTTATGCCAAATTCTCAGTTTCCCGTCAGTGCTCCACATCGCCTTTCTGGGAGTGTTCTCTGAAATGTTTATTCAATATTATCTCCTGGCTGAGCTGACCCTGTAAATTATCCAAATTAGGACATGTAGCTGATTTTAGTACCTTTGGGCAGAGCCAGGGCAGCTGCTTCCCTCTGTTTTTTGTCTTTATGCTATGCTAAGCTAATGGGCTGCTGGCTCCTATATTTACCAGGCAGATGTACAGTAAGAGTGTTATTGATCTTTTCATTTAGCTTTTAGCAAAAAAAGTGTATATTTCCCAAAATCTTGAACTTTGTTTTGGTTAGGTTTGCTGGCCTGGTGTTGCAGCTGTAAAAACCTGGTATATTTGATAGCTGGAATAAAAACTGACAGGACCTAAGAACTGGAGTTGGGAACCACTGACCTGCCATCATAGCCTTAGGGCCCATCACTGGGGTCTTAATAACCCCCTGCCATTGATTATTGTGCGCTGTGATTAATTGCACATCATTTTACCTCCCACTGCTATTGGTTTAGCTTAAGGTCAAATCAATTTAGTTTCCAGTTGCACTGCTGAGCCAGGAAAATGGAGGTTAATGACTTTTATACGACACTCATGAGTTTGTTTGCTGGATAGACTCGGATCAATGGCCTCTATCGACTATGGTCTCACCCTCCCTCTTCTGTTTGTCAGAATTATCTAAGTCAGGTAAATGGACAGGAACAAGTGTGAGAAGCTCAGGAATCTAAATCTTTTTCCATGAAAATGTAAAGTCACAGAGAACCAGAGCGGACAGCTGAGAAACACGCAGCATTGCCTGTAATCCACAGTTTCCTCCAGCAGTTCACTCATTAGCCTGTCAGCTGTATAAGTGATTCTTCTCTGAAGTAAACTGTAATGTTGACACAAATTACACTAGAGACACTAAAACCCATTTGAAGAAATAGTTGATGATAAAAAGAAAGTCTCATTAATGATGCCAACACACTTGGCTGGAGCTTGCTCTGAGTACTGTGTTATCAATATGGTACATTTTGTTTTGGCCAAATTTCAATCTGTTAATTCCTGAAAGCCTTTTTCATCTTAAGTGTGGGGTAACTCTCCTGAATTGTTTAGCCAACTTTTTTTTTTTTTAAATCCATCTCTAATTTAAGGTAGATGTGTTTAAATTGGATACTTTGTTACTGTTTGCAGCTTTGCTTCCTGTTTTAGCAAACACTGGAAATAAATAACCCATTTGTCTGCAGAGAAAGCCTAGCACAAGACATTTGTAATGGACCACACAGGGACTACAGTGGCCCTGACTAATACATGATTGAATGATCATTGATCCTATATTGATGCCATGAAGATGAAGAGCACTGGTGTTTTTCCCCAGTGGGATTAGTGCATTGACCTGCTTAGAAAGTTGTTCTTTCTTGCTTTGATTCTTGACATTTTAAGGAACAGGTTTGTCAGTGGTTTTAATTGCTTGTCCTGATTGGGATTGCAGTGGCAAAAGGGTGAGCGGGGGAACTCAAATGTCCTTGGTCCTTGTCCTTGGCGATATTCTCTCAGGCTAGCTTGAAGATGGAATCGCCCAGCGATTGTTGCACACATGGCAAAGGTGCAATTCCAGCGTCACCAGTCCTTGATATCCTGTCCATAAATAAACAAAGGAGCTGACAGAGCACACTGCTGCTGGAATCCAGTGCTCACATTGAACATGTTTCATTAACGCTGTCAGTTTCAGGGCTAGTGCACAGAAAAAAGACAAAGGCTAAGGATCACAATAATAGTTCTCAACTTCTTGGCATCCCTGTCCTCTTGCATATTTCCTACCATGCTAGAGATTTTTCATGCAAGACCCTGCAGGATTGGAAAATTAAGTTACAGTATATAACTTGATGCACATAAATTTCCATCATTTTGTTCTATAGTAAAATTGTCGCTACCACAATGTCCATCTCCTGTAAGTCCTATTGGATACACGTTGTGGTGGTCAGCATGTTTAGGGTCAAAGTTCAATTTAGTTCAAATTTGGCTGCAGTGTCTGGCAGAAAATCAAGGTCATGCATGCTGCTGCGGCTGATGCAGCTACCTCTCTCTCTCTCTCTCTCTCTCCTTTGGAAATAATGGGCTTAATCTGTGCAGTGTCAAACTTGCACTTTTGATATAAAAGCCCTTAAAGAATGTGAACACAGCTCTTTCTGTGCGACTGTAATGGCTGCAAATGGATCACAGTGCCGACCACTGCACCCCAGAATCTGGCAGCGGCTCTACAGTTGAGTTTTTTCACTTTTAAAAAATGCATGTGGTTGGAAATAGAAAACTCTCATTACCCTTTAATTACTTGTGAGGGATTAGAAATACTGACCACTGTGCCTCCTGCGTTTGAGATTCAAAAGTTTCCTTTCCAGCACCTTGGCAAAGATTCTGGTGCAGTTGGTACAAGACCAAGTCCGCTTTTAAACTTCAAAATCTGGAGGTGTGAATTAGTTTAAAGTTATGTGTTAAACAACACAGTTCTTTTTCTTTTACCACACACTGACTGGTGTTTTTGAGACACACATCCACTGTAAACTTAACGCAAAACAGGCTGACTATTTATTTTTCTTAAAATGGTGGTTAATTTTGATTTGAGCATTGCTCAATTGAAAGTGTGGTGGTTCTTACCACTTTTTTTATTTTTTATTTTGGTTATGTGTTTTTTGTAAAAGGTTTATATTTTGTTTTTTTTTTTTTTTTTTTTTTAGATTTGTAGGATACCATAAATAATGTTTGCAGTGGGGTGGTGTTCTTCTGTGTTCCTCCTAACTATCAGCTTCATTCTGAAGCTCCATTTTCTCTGTGTATAAATTCCCTGCAGAAGCCTAAAGCCTCATCTATGGATTCAACCACCAAACTGACACGTTCTCTCCCGTGTCAAGTCCAAGTTAACCAAGGGGAAAATCTGTGAGTGGCTAGTTATGCACCATGGACCTCATCCGTACAAAAGGGGTTGTTTACCACACCATTTGACATTGCTGTTATTTGTGTCTCCAAACAGAAACACAGACCAATGGCCACAGAAGCTCATCATGCAGCTGATACCGCAGGCATTACTAGTGAGACCGTTTCCTTGTCTTTTGTTTTACTGTATGGATGTGCTGTGGGGTTTTGCAGCCCAACACGTTCATGAGTGATGTGTAACAAAATCCTCTCTTCACTGCTCTCTTTGTAGACAACCTTAGGGCACCTCTTCAGGAACTCTCGAATGGTTCAGTTTCTCTTCACCAATAAAGATGTGGAGTCGCTGAAAGGCCTGTACCGCATTATGACCAGCGGTTTTGTAGGTTTTCAACTACTCTGCCTTTTTTCTAAACCTCAAATGTGTGTCCTCTCCTGAGCATGTGAGCAGAGCAGAGTGCAGGAGAGTGGGGAGCATGAACGGGTGGATTTTGGACAGAGTGCAGAGTGGCTTTTTTAAAAAGGAGGGAGTGTCACCTTATATCCCACTCCGGTTTCACTCTAGTACCGCTCACACCACAAGCCTGAAGCGTGCCCAAGCCCAACCCAGAATGCATCTGTGTCTTGCTCAGTCATCTTATACTTTTTTGTCAAAAATCAGCTGTTGCTGAAGTACTTTAAAAATGAAACTGAAAGATCATACAGGCATACTGCATGCTTTTATTTAATTAGGCCCATTGATTCTTTGAATTTACATGTGACTTTTTGTTTTCTACTCCTTGATACATAGGTCTAAGTGTAATTTGAAATAAATCACTTCTATTGGGGGGAAAAAAGCAGTCATTGTTCTTTGGGATCTAAGGCTACGGCTAAAAGTGAAATGCATGCAAATTCTTTCCTCATTTTTTTGAAGTGAGTGGGTGCAATTTGAGTGGAGCGGGATGCAATCCTTGTGCTTGGTGCAGCTTTGAGCTGGAGAGTGGAGCGGACGAACAGCTCTGTGAGCGAGGAGAAGAAATTCTCACCACTCCACTCTGCTCATATGCTCTGGTCCCCTCCATGTTCCATCATTGTGCCTCATTACATTTTCCATGAGTGGCAACTGAGCACAGGTCCAACTTGTGTCCAGCAGATGGTCTGCAGTGCTGTTGTAAAGACTGTAGAGGGGGTTCCAGGCCATACATTTAGTTTCGTTCAAGCTTAATAATAGGATTTTAAGCATGCTTCGCCATCAGTTCAGACATAAAACTGTAATTGTTTAGTTGTGATTCAGTTCCAGAAGGCTAGCATAATGATGGGGGCTTTATCAGTGTGGTGCTTTGTTAATCAGGTAATACCATGGAGAACTAGCAGAGAGGCATTAGTAGTGTTCAGTCCAGCTGAGCTCTACCTCTCTTCCTGAATTTGATTTGCAGCCCAGGGAAAGCACAGTATGAATTAATTTAATACCATTTGCCATTTCAATTTATAAAACCGATTTGTTTGACTGGGGAGAGGAGCTCAGGAGCAGGTTATGTCCCCAAACCTGAGCCCATCCCATAATTACGACATGGTCCTGTGTCAAGGTCTTAATCTGCCCTGTGACCTTCCCTGCAGGCTGGCTGCGTCCACTTCCCGCACAGTTCATCTCCCTGTGAGGTGCGGGTGCTGATGCTGCTGTACTCATCCAAGAAGAGAATATTCATGGGCCTCATCCCCAATGACCAGAGCGGCTTCGTCAATGGGATCCGGCAAGTCATTACCAACCACAAGCAGGCCCAGCAGCACAGAGCGGTGAGTGGTGATAGGAGGTGGAAGTGGGGGCGGTGGGAGGAGAGGGCGGTTTCAATGCTGGAGAGAATATGTGGACTGGGATGACCAAAAGGAGCCCATAATGAGGAGGCATTATTGAGGAGCACTGGGGAATTGACTTGCATTGTTTAGGGCATTAAAGTGCATTGCTATTGACATTCCATTTAGTGAGCCCAGTATCTTTACCACTAACATTTCTCACTCTAGTCGAGGCTAATGGGGCTAGCATTAGCTAAACTCTTCCTAAACATTAGTTGACTGCTGCAGTTGCTTTAATTTTCTGGTAGTTTTTCCCACGTAGCATAAGCCACATTGGCAATGTAATAAGTTACATCTAAAGAAACCCATGTGATAATAGCATAATGGTCATTTTTCACAGTTTTCTGATTTATAAACCAAACATGATCAAAAACAAATAATAATTATTCAGTAATGGCAGTAATTATTCGTTGCAGCCCTTGTCCTGTTGCACCATTTTTGTCAGTAACTGTTACCTCATCATTGCATCATCTAGCAACAAGGCAAACTTCATAAAAACAGAAGTTTCACACTAGTTGCTCTGTCACATAAAGTTGTGAGATCCAGCTTTAAACAAAACACAACTCGGGTAGATATAAATTTTGCAGGCTCTCCAGATGTTAACATTAAATGAGATGCTGTAGGAGTAGTAGTGGTATGTGCCAGTCTTTAGTGACAGTATCAGGCAATCAAAAGACAAAGCCCCCATCCTTGTCGCTGAGTTTGTTAAACAGTACAAACATTGCTGCCTTGTACACATATGGAAATTTCTTTGCTCATCTTCATCCCTGAGGGCAGGGTGATTTAAAATGTGTCCTCCGGATTAGCTGTCTTTTCCATCACAGAGCTCCACTCCAGCTTATTGCATCCAGTGAGGAGGGATGCTGCATGGCTGTGAAACAATGCAGCGTCCAATCACAGAGAAGCAGCATGTCTCCGTTTAAAAATGAAGCCTGTTGTCGGATTTACATGAGTTAGATTGCATTTCTCCTCGCAGTCTGCTCTCATCAGTGGTGATGGCACTTGTTTACTCACCCTGCTAATTTTGTCTTCGCAGAAGCATGTCAGCCCCATATGTAACTGAAAGCCATGTGTGCACGAGCATCAGGGCATTTAGAGCAGGCAGAAGACATGAAATTATAATGAAGGGGGTTTTTTTTTGCCTCTTGTGTATCATCACATATTCAGTGCTGCATTGTTAACAGGAATGTGCTACAGCAATCTTAACAGAATTAAAATTTCAATTTGGACCAGTAGTTAAGGTTTCTGGAGTGGCATTAGACAGGACAGAGATTGCAGTTTGTTCTGTTCACAGCGATACAAAATAGAATAATTTTTCCTGAAAAGCGATGCAAGCTGTAAATCTTGATCTAGGACTTTAAAGATTACGGGGCTAAAGACAGAGGATAAATCATAGACAGTGGAAGACAGAAACAGGCAGCTTGTTCCGTCAGAAGACCTAAATATGAGTGTTGCACTGTTGGCCAGAAATCACAGCGTACATTAACACAATCCCAGGCTGATTTGTTCAGATTCAGCAAGGTGGATCGGTGGAGGTATTTTTTTCCCCGTTGTGCTCCCCCC